CTGAAGCTCGGCCTGAAGTCCTGACCGGCGACGCGAACGGAGACCAGTTTAGCAACTAAGCAGACGAGCCCAAAGCAACGGACGGATCGAAAAATGCTCCAAGTCTTCCCCACGACTAATGGGACTGCCATAGGACTGCCGCCCCATTGACCCCCCCCAAGTACCCACCCCAACTGATCGGCATTTATGGCAGTCCCATGGAGTGTCTGGGCTTGGAATCCAGCCATTGAATTGGATCGGACCCACCAAGTCGGTGTTGGCACGTGGACCGTGGACCTGTGGACCTGTGGCTTTGATTGAGCGGGGTGTCACATGGCGTCCCCAAAAAGTGACCGGTGACCAGAGTGACCGGCAGGTGACCGGCAAAGCGAAGAACTTCTGTCTACGACATCCAGTCTCTATCCCTAGGGCTCCAGGTGGTTGGGGTGGGTACCAGGGGGTCTAACCACCGGAGATGGGTCAGGAGCCCCAAAAAGGGTACCCACGGTTCGGGTGGCCGGTGTCCCGCTTTCGAAGGTGTCACGGTGTCCAGATGTAGTACGTCACTTGGTCAATTCTGGTGGTGTCAAACTCACCTTTTTCACATCGAAACCACCGCACCAATTGAACGGCTATAGGTCTGGTGCAAGCTCTTCGGAGCGGGCGAAGCTGAGCGAACGCGACGTGAGCGAAGCTTCGGTTCGCGGAGGCCACGACCCGTCGTGTTCGGGGACCGAATTCAGACAAAGCACAGCAGTGGTTCTTGGCAGCCGGCAATCCTATCATACGAGATATGTCTTGCAAAACCATGGTTGAGCATAGAGTTGAAGCAGTTCTGGAGATGTTCATTCAGTCGAGGGCACACTTGGACCTCTGTGGCGCTCACATGTGTGACATGAGCAGTGTCTGGAAAACTGACCCAAACTGGCCTGGGAGGTCATGGAAAAGGTCAGTAGTCGAATCAAATGTTTAACAAGGACAAGTCGACAAGTCGAACAGATTTTACATACAGGCCCACGGGCGGCCCACAAACAGGTCGATCACATGGAATCTAGTAAAACAAACCCATGAAGAACCTTCAAACTATGCTTTAGAGTCCTGTAATTGATCCCCTGCCAACTAATATTAATTGATACTCCCTGAAACAAAGATGGATGTGGACAACCCCCCTGTTTGTTGAGGAAAATAGTATTCCAGGAGGAGGCTGTTATCCACTTCCATGATTGTTGGAGGGAGGGTATGCTCGGCCAAAGTGTTGTCCCAGATGAAACATCCTGAAACTTGGCATTTCTCCTGAATCCACGCAGCATGGGTTTTGTGCCCAGGTGTGCCGGTGGGCGTTTCAAACCAGCCAACACCAAACACTCCATGGGACCGGAATCTTTGCCTACAAATGGTTGGTCAGGTTTTACATCACACAGCCAACACCCAAGATACCCCCTTGGGTCCGGGTGGAGAGGTTTCGCTGAGGTTGCACCAAGGTTCCCGCCTTCTTCCACCTTCCTCAGAGAAGAGCCCGCAGCTAGATGCCTTGGTGTGCCAGGGCACCCAACGGTTGGGAAACTCCCCGTAGCATGAGGAACATGGATACCACCATCTCCGGAATCGCTGCTTCCGAATCGCACCGCCGACCAACGTCCAACGTCCAACCCTGCAGGATTGGCGCCCCTCCGACCTTGCGAACCCAGTGACGTTGATACCGTCTCCGTCTCCTCCACCGGCTTCGAGGTGTCCTGGAGCCGAGTGACGGATCGACGGCGTGGTTCGACGTCGTGGCTTTTTCTTCCTTTTTTAGACCGCTCCGTGAAAACAGCCCGGGTCCCTCCAAAAAACCGATGGCCTCAAACCTACAAGCGATGGCCTCCAACCTACAAGCGATGGCCTCCAACCAGATAGCGATGGGTCACTGCAGCCTTTGAGTCTTTGGGGAAGTCGATGTTGGGCTCTAAGCTACAAAGCCAGGAGAGACATTGTCGTACATAAACATATCAATACCAACAGGAAGTAGGCGTTTGTCTGTTGAGATTCTGTGGGAGCTAAGAACAACAATGGTATGATAAATCATAGGGGCAAATTAGATCAAATTAGACCAATCTTACTGCATCTTACTCCTTGATTCTTCGGGCCCCTTCTTTAACCCAATCTCCTAAACGTGTGTGCCCAATTCACCCACCAACATGTCAATAATAAGCAGCACACCACTGACTTCCACCGCGCTGTCTCGCCCTTCACCGCTTCGCCTGCGGCAATCTGGGCACGTCAGCTGTACTGATCTCGCTGCTACAATCCTCGGTCTCCTCAGCCGACTCAAAAGGGCGAACTGGAGGGCTTCGCTCTGACCAGTCTGGGCGCTGGAGGAGTCTGGGCGCTCGGTTGTTCAACAAGGAAGACACACATGGTTGGGCTTCGGGAGCTTGTGCGAGTGGCTTGGGGATTAGCTGAATTCACTTTGCATGAAGTTTCTTACACAAGCACACACGTTTGAGAAAGAGAGCTTGGAAGAGCACAATTCAGGGTGGTAGTTACTGCATTACCCGACCAGTGCAAAACGACCTGTCCTGAACCTGGCAACGGCCATGTGCAAACTGCAAGGCGAAACAATATTGTTTAACTATGTTTAACTCATCTTCTCATAGAGCAGGTACACAACGTGGTGTCCCAAATTGCTTCAGCACGAGCTGACAGGTTCTTCGTGGGGTAGTTTCTGTCAGTTGTGCACTACCCCCCTACTGTGGAAATCATGCCCCTGAATACGGGGTTTGACAAGCCCCAGTTGGCAAATTGGAGTTGTTAGAGGCGGAACTGTTCTCCCTCGTGGATGTGGATTACTACAAAAATCCATTGTTCAAATGGTCCAGCAGTCCAAATTAAGATGCAACACAAACCCAGAACATCATCCGTGCCTCTTGTCAAACCAGCAAAACCTGAGGTGATACCGTGATACCCATACCGAAGTATACCCATGGAATCCCATGGATACTTCTAACAATCTAGTCATGACCTCTTTGGCACCTACCAAGCTCAAAAGCCTAGATGGTATACCTATTGTAAAACATCTACATTATTTCGCCATAGTTATCCATTCACACCAGGTTCACCATGATGGTACCAAGCTCCAACAACGCTCTGGTGACGTCTGGCTTCTGACTCTGGTGACAGGTCGGCAAACCCAACCCGGCTGCGCACCTCTCCGGTGAGCTCAATGGAAGAGGCCTTGGGTGACGTGGGACGAAGGCGCAGCACGGCGGGTAGCTCTTGTGACTCTGGTGGTAGCTCTGGTGACTTCTTGTTGCGCGTACTGGTCGCCTCTTTTGGGGCAAACTCTGGAGATGGATTCCGATAAAGCTGAAATACAATTCTTAGCCCGTCAGGTGCTGATGAATCATGTCATGTCATGTCCATACTTCCATAGGGTGAACCCAACGAACAGTTCTGGTGCCTTGGCTCGTGGGAATTTTCTAGCAAGTGCTATAGGGTAAGAAAAACGACCCTTCCTGAGAAAATGGAGGACGAGATTGATCTCTTCCTGCTGTTGTAGGTCGGTTTTGGCCCGCTGAAAAGGCCAACATGGTGGTTCGCCCCCAGGCCTGTCTTCTCCAAGTCCTGAGTCCATGGCAGCCCTGTTTGGGCCTAAGAGGTCAGCTCTCAACAGATCTCAAAACTCCTTGGTACTCACTGACCGCCGTCGCGATCCCCGGAAAACAGAAAGCCTGGAAGTCCAAGACCATCTTTAAAATGGTTGAGTCTGGTTTTGTAGTGTAAAACCCTTAGTAAAACAATTGTTGTTTGGTAAATGCTATTAAAACAATGGTGGTTCTATCCACCTGTTGAGTTTCTGGTGGGGCGATGCGTCCTTCCTCCTTTTCCGGTCGGGCGCGCGTCACAGCTCGTGCCAATCCAAGTGGCGTCCTCTCCAGGACCTCAGGCCGACCGGCAGACCCTAGTCGGTTTATGTTATTTAGACGTCTTGCAGGATGTGTAAAATATGTTTCATGTTTCGTCGTATGCTCACCTAGTTGCTTGAAATGAACTTCCAGCATGTCTTCTACCAACAAATATGATGTTTCTCTTTGATGGTCCTACTTGGCATCCCAGCGAAACCAATCTCGTGGAAACTACTCTCGACCTGTTTGGATCTTCCAAGGGTACTAATTGTGGGTCTCGTGGCCCAAGGCATCTTTGACCTTCCCAAGAGGTCCAAGCAAGTTTCGGGCTAAATTCTGGCTGAACCATCCAATCCAATGCCATGAAACGTGGGATGTGTCGCGATATGTCAACTGGACTCCGACGTGCAAGTGGGATCCCAACATTATGTGGGAAATGGTGGGAATGATATTCGCAAATTGGCATAATGGTGCTGTCGTGTTCGCTCAATACATGGTGTTTCTCCTATTATACCTGACTGATACACGGTTTTTTTCGCAGGCAGGTCGTCCATGTGCCACGCTCGGGCCAAACTATGTCATATAGGAGTCATATAGTTCCTTGTTTCGCTAGGCCGAACACCCATGCGGTTTCCGGGTAGCTTCACAGGTTTCGGCGGCGAGAGAGTTGCTTCAAATCACGGCAGAACTTCAAGTTCAGCAGAAACCGCAGCCGTTCATTTGTTCACCATGAGGGACCAGGATGTGGCAAGCTGCCATGGAAGATGGCTCCCTCGCTTGTAGCTACCTGCAGCTCTTCCAGGTCATCAGTGGATCCGTGCGATTCCAAGGGCCGATGGGTGATGGGAGTCGAAGAAGTCGAGGTCAGGCCGCTGGGAATGTCAGGAGATGTAGGTTGCTGCTGAAACAGTCGTTGACGAAAGCGTTCCAACAGTAGTTTGTGAAACGATCACATCTTCACATCCAGAAACCAATCTGTGTGCAGTTTCCCTTCACGATATTTCACGATCCCCATGTGATTCGCCAATACATTCCGTCAGGCGAATGCTCGCACCCGCTCGCACCAGCTTGCAGAACCCAAAAAATGGTTGTTGGCCGGTCGTGTGTCGCAGAAGGGCGGCAGCTTGGAGCAGCCCGCTACATGTGAAAGCGGGGGTCGTACATGCGCGTTTGCGAGGGCTCGATCTCGCCTGGGACATAGACACCTCAGTGGGGACATGGTGACAAAGTGGCTGCCAGTAAAGAACATGAAGAACAGGACGCAAACACAATCGAAAAAATAGACGGACAACTGAAGATAGCTCAAAATTCAAACAATTGAGAAAAACAGTGACAGAACCCACCCACAAAAAAACAGAAGAACCACCAAAACATAGCAAACCCAAGACAGCAACAGCAACAAACTCCGATTCCGACTCCAACGACGACGGCTACAACTACAACTACTAACTACTAAACACTAACGCTAACGACTGACTGCTAACTATACCAACCACTAACTATACTAACTATATAAACTACTACCTAGCCCAAATAAACCAACTACTAAGTACTACAAACTACATACTACATACATCGGGGGCCTGGGGAAGTGAAGGTCTTTTTAAACGATCTGGGCGACCCTGTTTGGGGACCGGCATGGCCTTTTCAGCTCTCAACGCATGGTCCAGTCATCAAGTGCATGTTCTCTGCAATCCACGACTCCCAGGAGTTCCACTCCGCACTGTTGTCGATAGTCACTACTCAGATGCTATAGCTGCATATGTCAGTTTGACTCTGGGCTAACTGGTGAATGTCGCCATTGCTTTGAAAAAGTGCCCTTGGGATAACAAACTGGTCTTGGTTCACACTATAAAAAGAGATGTAACCGCCAAAGCCCTTCAAATCTGCACATGGTGCATCTTGCACGGTCTGCACAAATGGCTCTTTCCACCCCATTACATCGTGAAGAGACTTTCCCAGGGTGCTCTTGCCACATTGGCTTGGGGCACGAATTACAAACAATCTGTGACGCATTTGTGCAGTTTTGTACTGCTCACCCCATGAACGAATTTGCTCTAAATTTACAGTAGCCTGCTCATGCGCGCGCACAACTTCAACCTGGCGCAGCCTATTAGCGAAGCCAATGCGGACTTTACACCTGGCAAGGCCAATTCTGGGAAATCAACGAAAATAGTTAAATTACGAACCTTGATTCTCCACTACGATACGGTAAATCGAGCGACTCAGATTAATCTGCTACCAGCGCTACTTGACGTGAAAAGACGAGGTGTTGTCCAACAGAGGACTGACTTGGAAAGACTCGCCAACACAAAAAAGCTGAGGAGCACATAATACAAGTAAACGCCATGGGATAGCCTGCGCAGACCATAAACTATCAGTCCAAAAATCTCGGACGGTATTGTGTACCCATGGCTCATAGTGAGATGTCCTCACACTGACAGTGCCCACATCAGGGTGCGCTTTGCAGGAGCGCAATCGATACAAACACAATGACACAAAGAAATGAACATTTTCAGTGGCCTTATTAGCAAAGCAATAAGAATGCCCTTGGTCGGCAGTGTCATGTAAATGCAAGCGGCCCAAGGTCGCAGAATGGGTTGACGCTTCAAGGTTGTTCAACAGTTTCTAGCCACTGGACAAAATCGTCAAAGTGCTCCTCGGAGGAGGTTGTCTCCATTGTATCTGAAGAGGCACGCTTTTGCACGCAAGCGAAAGGTGCCAGAAGCCTGCAAAGTTCAAACCCGGTAGCAGGACCAGGAAAGAAAGCTGTGAAGTGCAAACATTTCCTGAAACAATGTGAGGGTTGGTGGCAATTTTCGAACTTTAGGCCTCTGCAGCAGGCATCTCAGGGGCATCCACCACTCTGGCATTGCCAGGCAAAGGTGGCACCTCGTGCACAGACATGTCAGTGGGTTTGGGTTGGACCTGGTGGCTTGCTAGCAAACAACACGACAGCAAACATCGACCACACAGTTTGTCTCGGTGTACGCGAGAGCAAACTAAGATCAAGGCCACTGCCTCTCCCAAGTAAAGCGCGGTAGCTGCTGCTAAGCGAGCATCTTGTTCTGGAGACAAAGGTCGAGCACGAAGTTTTTGCGATTCACTCCGGCAGACTTCAGCAGACCCTCCACCCTCATTGTAACTTTGTAATTCCCAAACGGGGTAAGCGGGGCCACTCCTGTAAATACCACTACTTTGGGGACCACATGCGGGGCCGCTAATGTAAATACCAGGACTTTGGGGACCATGCCGCATCCACCACTGCGATGTCTCGCGCAGCAGTCATAGTCTGAGGGTAAGACATCCTGCCTTTACTAGTTTCCCCTGGCGAAACGTTCTCTGCTACCATGCCTGACCTGTCAGCCACAACCACGGCTCACACGACGAGCCAGGAGCCAGCCCAGATCTTCCGCCGTTAAAATTTCCTGCTTTTCCATGAGGCGGCGCTTCCTCTTTTCCTGACATTGGTTCTTGAAAAAGCACATTCCAGTGGCTTAAACGGAGCTCTTGCAGAGCGGGCGGGGACGAGGTTTGTGGTACGCTTGCAATGAGTGAGGAGTCCCAACGATGTGAGGAATGTAAAAAGAGAAAGCTGTCCAGATCCAACCTGCGGCCTCGCCACCCATGGCATCTGGCAAAGTGAGGAATGCACCCCATGCAAGGAGAAAGGTGTCCAGTTAAGCTGCGGCCTCGCCACCCGTGGCATCTGGCAATGTGAGGAATGCACCCCGCTGAGTGCAGAAATGTGTCCAGATCCAAGCTGCGGCCTTGCCACCCATGGCATCCATCAGCGCCTAGATCCATCTGGCCTTGGCAACCATGGAATGTGGGACATGAAGTGGGGAGAAAACAATCGGCCTAGATCCAAGCTGTGGCCTTGCCATCCAAGGCATTTAGGATATGAAAAAAAAGGCAGGAGCAAGGCCTTTGTCACTTGAACCAATCAGTGTGGTCTCAGGTGACTGGTCCTGGAGGAAACCTGTTCAATCTGACGGCAATGGCGGCTGTTGCTGCAATGGCGGCTGGTGGCTTTGGGGCGCTTTGAGTTTAAACAATGCGGGAGTTTTATTACAAACACAGGCAATGCCAAAGCGCCCTGCTTCTTGATTTCTTTCGTGGCGGCCTTCAAAGTATAGCCTTTAATGCTTTGCGTTCATCCTTCAACACTTGAGCGGGTCTGCTGCCACAGCGGGTGCATCAGCGCGCTCACCACGCACTCCATTCTCCGCTGTCGCTGCGTCAGCCATACTACAAGCACTCACACTACGACCCAGACGTATCGTGGCAACTGCAGGGGTTTAAACAACAAACAGTTTTCTGCGCAACCGGGTCAGGTTGCAGGGGAGCCGTGCGAGTACTCAAAAGGGGGTCTCAAAAACACACCTTTCTTACCTTCACTGCACAGGGCCCTGGGAGTACTACATATACTACATATATAATACTAGTACTACATATATAATACTACTACTACATATATACTACTACTACTACTACTACTACTACTACTACTACTACTACTACTACTACTACTACTACTACTACTACTACTACTACTACTACTACTACTACTACTACTACATATATAATACTACTACCACCACCACCACCACCACGACTACTACTATTACTACTACTACTACTACTACTACTACTACTACTACTACTACTACTACTACTACTACTACTACTATTAACTACTACTATATACTACTATATACTACTATATACTACTATATACTACT